CCATTTTGAATAATATTGGATGAGTTCCTTGTTTTTCAATGCAATATAATATTCCGTTGTGTAACTATACCACTGCTTCTCTATCCATTCGTTTGTTGATGGGCACTTAGGTTGTTTCCAATTCCTTGCTATTGTGAACAAAACTCTGATAAACATGGGTGTGCATATATCTGCTTGGATGTCAATTATGGTCTCTTTGGGGTATATTCCCAGTAGTGGAATTGCTGGGTCAAACATATCTCTATATGCAAGTTTTTTGAGAAAGCTCTACACTGCCTTCCACAGTGGTTGCACCATTTTATACTCCCACCAACAGTGAATAAGGGCTCTAGTTTCTCCCCAACTCACCAGCATTTGTTGCTTGCTGTTCTGTTAAATTTTGCTATTCTGTCTGGGGTGGGATGATATCTCATAGTTGTTTTGATTTGCATCTCTCTTAGAGGTAGGGATTTTGAACATTTCTTCATGTGCTTGTTGGCCACCTGAATGTCTTCTTTGGTGAAGTGTTTGTTCATATCCTGTGCCCATTTTTCAATTGGATTATTTACCTTTATCTTGTTGTGGTGCTGAAGTATTTTATGAAATCTGGATATAAGTCCCTTATCTGATATGTCATTACCAAACACTTTTTCCCAGTCTGTGGCTTCCCTTTTTACCCTGTTGGAGAAGTTTTTGGATGTGCATAGGGATTTGATTCTTAGAAGGTGCCATTCATCTATTTTATCTTCTCCTGGTTGTAGGCTTTTCAGGATACTTGGAAGACTGTTTATGTTGTAGATTAGGACTTCTAGCTTTCTTCCACGCTTTTCTTTAATGATGTTTATAGTCCTTGGTCTTAGTCCTAGGTCCATGATCCACCTTGAGTTTGTTTTGTCTGTGGAGTGAGGTGTGGATCTTGCTTGAGTCTTTTGCAGATACTTTTCCAATTTTGCCAAAACCATTTGTTAAAAAGGCTGTTGTTTCTCCACTTAGCTGATTTCATCTCCTTGTCAAAAATCAGTTGACCATAGATAGATGGGCTGATCTCTGGGTTCTCAATTCTATTCCATTGGTCCATGTGTCTGTCATTGTACCAGTACCATGCTGGCTTAACCGCCATGGCAGTGTAGGAGGATTTGAAATCAGGGAGTGAGATACTTCCTACCTTTCTTTTATTTTTAAGTAGTACTTTGCTTATTTGGGGCTTCTTTCCATTGTAAATGAAAATGGAGATTGCCTTTTCCATCTTGTTGAAGAATGGGAGTGGTATTTGTATTGGGATTGCATTAAACGTGTAAATTGCCTTTGGTAGTATTGCCGTTTTCACAATATTGAGTCTCCCTGTCCCTGAGCAAGGGATATTCTTTCACTTCTCAAGGTCTCTTTTATTTCTTGTAGTAATGTTTTGTAATTTTCTTTGAATAGATACTTTGTGCTTCTGGTTAAATTTATTCCCAAGTATTTAATCGTGTGATTAGCTGTTGTGAAGGGTATTGTTTTTCTTTGTTCCAGCTCTGTATTCTCTTTGTCACCGTAGAGAAAGCCAACTGATTTTTGTATGTTGATCTTGTATCCTGCCACTTTGCTGAATTGGTCCACTGTGTCCAATAGTTTTCTTGCTGAGTCTTTAGGGTTTTCTAAGTATACTATCATATCATCTCCATAGAGAGATAATTTCACCTCCTCTTTGCCAATTTGGATACCTTTTATTCCCTTCTCTTGTCTTATTGCTATCACTAAGACTTCCAAAACAATATTGAATAAGAGAGGGCACCAGTGGGCATGCTCTCCCAGGTAATCAGAAGTGCCCCAGAAAACCCAGTCAGGATCCTACCGGCCTTTCTCCTTCCTGCCAGATTAGTTCCACAGCAGCTCCACCACGGATCCAGCCATCACCCAGAGGCACTAGCCAAGCTGCTGTGGAACTAATCTGGCAGGAAGGAGAAATTTTAAAAATTTAAAAAAAGAAAAAACCAGGACTTAGATCACTAACTGAAAGGTTGGTGGTTTCAACATACTCACCAGCACCACAGAAGATGAACTTGGTGATCTTCCATAAGGGATTGTAACTCTGAGATAACCTTTCTATTTGCCACCGAGTCCACTCCCAGAAGCCATCTTTCAACCAACTAGTATATTGGTTTATGAAATTAAATAATCCTTTAAATAATCACCTACATAACACCAACTGGTCAGTATTTATTTACTCTGAAGTCAAGATGAAAAGATAAGAGGGACAGAGAACCTAAATTAATGGAACAAACAGAATGGAAGTTATGAGAATCTGACACATTGTGAAAAAATGCCAATTCCACTGAACAGTATGTATGGGAATTGTTAAGAGAATAGGTAGGTATAAAGTGAACAGTAACACTGAAGAGGCTACACACTCTACAACAATTGACCACAGAAGGTCAAGAGGGTAGCATCTGCTCTGGGATAAAGCTCAGAAGGCGGGAGGAGCATGGTAGGATAGAAGAATGAGTGGAAATGAGAATCACAGGGACTAAGTGAACAGTGAGTATTGTGATTGATTTTCTAAAACAAAATGTGTGACTGGTTGGATGGAAAACCAGTTTGCTTTGTAAACTTTAACTTAACTCATGAAAGAAGAAAGAAATCATTAAAGGTGAAGCTGAATTAGGAGCTTAGGTGGTGTAGTCCAAGGGGAGCTGTACTGCTAACCTAAAGGCTAAGCTTTTCTGACTTCGGTAGAAAAATGGGCAGTCTCCTCCTATGCGATATATAGCCTTAGAAATCCACTCAAGGGTCAGCTGTGAGTAGGAACCGAATGGAGGCAATAGGAGAGAGAATCACCAGAAATACAATAACTGAAGCTCATTGGCATTGTTCTGGAACTGACTGACAGCTTACTCTGCACCAGGTTTCCAAGGCTGTAAATCTCATGGGAGCCAACTGCCCATTTTTCTCCACTTTTGTACCTCCAGTGGCACTGTCTTTCATTACCAGCAGTGTAACTTCCTACAGAATATACCACCAGCACACCTTAGAAATACAAACAAAAAGAAGTTATCTATCTAAGCTCTAGTGGCTTAGTGGTAAGGAGTTGCACTGCCAACTCAAAGACATACAGTTTGAATCTACTAGCTGCTCCATGGGAGAAATGTGAGCATTGCCTGTGTGATTTACTGCCTCCGAAAGCCTGCTGGAGGGTTCACTATTGGTTGGAACAACCTTATTGAAGCTCAGTTCTACCCTGTAACCAAGGAGTTGTCAGATTGATTAAATGACAATGGGATTTTCTTTATAGTAGGATACCTACTTTTTATTTTTTTTATTAAAAAAACCAACCAAACAAAACCCCCTACAACTGTTTGGGGTTAGTTCTCCCCTAGTTTGGTTTTTTAATTGTTGGTGGTGGTTTGTGGTTTTTTGTTATTTTTTGGGTTTTTTTTTCCCTTCAATATCCATGAACACTTTATTACAGATCTGGGAGGATAGTGAGTTCCCTTCAAAAACTACCTACCCCTTCACTAGATATTTTAACACACCTTTTTTTAAATACATACTTTTCTGAGACTTAGCCCTCATAGGAGTGGTGACTGATCTGGGGCATCTCTTTTTTACTCCTCCTCATCTGGGTCAGTTCGGTCCCAGAAGATGACTCCTTTAGACTTGAGTCACCTAGACCAGGCCTGGGGGTCAGAACAGCTTTGGAAGAGACCTACCCACCCAACATAGGCTTGGCCAACTGAGGGGGACCAGTATTGACATAGTGGGGGTCAGAGAGGCTAACCTCTCTGGCCACACTGAATGCCCTTCCTGGAGCATGAGAGCTAGTCCTGGGCCTGATCCTGAGCTGTTGGTGGTTGTGGGCTCCAGGCCCTCCTTATTGCTGTCAGGACTGGCTCAGAAGTGCTACGCTGAGGATCCTCAGTGAATCCATCTTGCAAGACCAATGATGCTCTGTACTCAGTTGCTTTCTAAAGGACTCCATGGTACCCTTCTTATGTCCTCTTCAAAATGAAAAAAGTTCTCTTTGCTTCCTCTTCTGTAGCTCTAATGTTTTGCTAGACCAGAACTTCATCCCTAAGCTGGCTCATCCAGTGGCTCACCTGCATCCTGTCAGCAAAAGGTCACAATACACCATGATGAAAACCCACCTCTTCCAGGCCTCAGCTGCATATCTGCCAGAAGATTTCATCAGAGTGGGACAGCTGACCAAGCGAGTCGATGTTTTTAGCTGTGGAATAGTAAGTGCTGGCTTCTCTGCTTAGACTTGACCCTGCGTTCAATTCTTCTTCCCAGAGCTCGTTTGTAAGCAGAGGACATAGTGGAGCAGGAGCTGACAAACTATGTCCCACAGATAGATTTGACACATCACTGATTTTAAGTGGCCAGTGAGAATTTTTTTTTTTTACATTTTTGAAGAGTTATATTAAAAAGTTACCCACAATGTCTAAAAATATTTACTACTGGCCTATAAGAGAAAATGTTTACTGACCCCTTGAAATAAAACCACTCAGGAGTGGCCAGTTTTGTCTCCTGTCTTCACTGATCCCCCTCTAACCATACTATAATTGTTTGTGTTTGCACATCCTTTTGTCTGTCCAGTCATCCATTCATCCAGTCATTACTCTGTCTTCCACTGATTCAATATTCATCCATTCACCCATTCTATCTAGTCCATCCCTTTGTATTTATTCATTCATCCATCCTCCGTCCATCTTTTCCATCCACACCTCCAATACCCCTCACCACCACCCCCCTCACTGCTGTCTAGCTTTCCCATACTATAGCACTGTCTCTCATGGTCACATGCAGCAGGCTCCAAAAAACTTTTCCATAGAAATACTATTTCTTCAGTATCTTTATAGGTTGTTTGTATTAATAACATTTTATGTCCAAGTAAATCTGGGAAATAAGGGAAGTCAAGCAGATTTCTTTTTACTTCAGGATGAATTAAAGCCTTTAATATGGTAATGAACCCAGGGAGGAAAATGGTATACAGACTAATTTCCAAATGAATTAGACTGTGAAACTTTGTTTTCTCCGTGTATATCTCAGCATAGGTGTCTCATGGAACCCAGTTTGAGAAATAATGACAGGAAAGTGAAGTCTTTGGTCAGCTTCCACTAAGGCCAAATAGCTGGACCTCTGCTCCTCTCTAGCTTAACCTGGCCACTTCTGTCACCACAAACCTCTTCCATGCTGCCTGTCCTGTGCCATTTCCTGCCCTCCTCTCCCTTTCCTTTGTGTTCAGGATCCTTGCCTCCTTGGCCCCTGAGCCCCACTGGGAGTCCTTAGTGAGGCTCAGCAGGACTAGCCCAGGCTTCTTCTCCTTTGAGAGCATGTGGACTCACCCTAGGAGGTGTTACCTACTCTTTGCTCAGTTTTATCCTCCCTAAGATGGGGATAATAATATGTATGGAGATGAGTGGGTCACTGCATATAAACTAGAACAAAGAAGTGCTCAGGAAAGAACTGTTCTTATTCTTATGGTGGTTACTATGCCTGCCTTAACACCCTCACTCCTGATTTTTGCTTGCTCTTAACTTGATCTCAGCTCTTGATATTCTAATTGACCTCCACGTGAGTGAGCCTTCATCTAGTCACTCACAGTACCCACAGGTCCACTTCACACTTTTCTCAGACCAGCCACTGACTTGCCACTGCCTTCTTCTTAGTTCTGATTCAGTGCTGACTGGTTTGACTAGTACCAGTGATGCCACAAGTGGATTGCTTTAACCAACAGGTGTTCTTCTTTTATGCTTTAGATGGCCAGAAGGCTGAATGCAGGGCATCAGTTCACAGTCAGCTCCCAGCACAGGCCCTTCCTCTCTTTGATTCTGAAGGAAAGTCTTTGTTTCCTTTGGTATCTGCTAGGTGAAAGGTCCCAAACTCACTACAAAGTCTAGAAGCAACACTAGCTGAGTGTGTAGCAAAAATGCTTGATTTAAAATTTGTGCTTTGGTGAAAGCAGGCTGAGACACACTTGGCTTCGGGGAACAAAGGACAGAGTAGGGTGTTTATCCATTCCATTGTGACTGCTTGGGGGGAGTCAGAGCAGTCTGAAGTGTCTGGGGCCATTTTCCATTATTTCAGCACTCCCTATTTTATCTTCTGGAGTAGGTAAAAAAAAATCATGTTTAGGGATAAACATTAGTCAGAGTCTTTTCTATTTCCTGAAACACAAGGCTTTACAGGCCTTGGCACTCTCCCGCTCTCCTGTTCCTGGTCTCCCAGGGTCAAGGAGCAGGGACTGGCTCCCTTTCTTCCCTTTTTGTCTCTTGTGAGATAAAGGGTTTTCCAGGCCACACCCCATGGAAACGCTCAGTGTAATCATCAGGGAAAATCCCATTACATCAGGGCTGAAATGGTGTCAAAAGGTGTTACATTCCAGCTTTAATCCTTTTGCAACTATTTGGTTTGCCATATCATGGCAGAGCTTCCACATGAGATCGTCTATGTGTCCATTTTTGAGAACACAATCCATGACAGCTGTTCCCTTACCTGTTTCCCCGAGGCTGTAAATCATAGCAAGAGGATACTCCCTATCTTCTGCCTGCAGAGAGACTGGTGGACTCCTGACAACATGTAATGAAATGCGCTGCTCAGCCTTAGCTCTTTTGCCAAACAGCAGCATGGTTTTGAACTTTGTTTCTTCTGTGGGGATACTCAGTGCCGCCTGGGCAGCCTTAAACGACCTGGCGTCTGTAAAAGACCCAACACTGTGCCTGCCCTGTGGAAGGGGCTTGGGAAAAGCCAGTTTATTCATTTCCTCTCTTCTTCCCTTCCCTCCTTTCCCAGCAGGATCTGGCCCGGAAGTCCCTTTGAATGGGCTCTTTGCCCTGGCTTGCTGCCGTGGTGCTTGCTGCCCTCTGCTGGCCAGCTGCTCAACTGCTATTAACCTTACTGGCTCCAGCTCCTTTGGGGGTTGCTCTTCTAACCCAAAGGCAGTTCTAATCCACCAACTCAAGATTTACAGCCTCAAACCCAAGGAGAGTCAGCTGTGAGTCAGTTCAACAAAACTATTTACAGCCCTGAAACTCTATGGGCAAGAGTGGGATGAGGGATTTCTTGGCAGCTAATGTGCCCTATTCTAGTCACTAGGAGTTAAAATCCACTCTAAAGACACTCAACAGCACTGGTACAAGACTGCTCATTTTCTGAATTGATAAATTAATGAATTGTTGTTGTTGTTGTTATGTGCCGTCGAGTCGTTTCCGACTCATAGCGACCCTATGCACAACAGCTCTAAACCCTGCTCTATCCT